GACAAAACTGCTAATTTCACCACATAATCAGTGTTATTTTTTTCTCAGTATGGGCTGTATGGTGGATGGTCAAACTCAGTGAAACCGCATTTCTTAATGGCAGCCTTGGAAACACCCGACGTGTAGATTGGAACAACCCTCCTCGCGACAATTTCTCTCGATTTTTTTCTTTAATAGCATCTCGCAATTGACGCAGCAAGGCAGCGTAGTAATCGCCTGCTACTGTTGTGTTGCGTTCTTTAATCCACCAGTAAAATCCTTCAGAATCCAGAAAGATTGTAGGCGTAATCTTTTTCTGAGATTGAGTCACCTTTGCTTTTTTGGCCGCGTTAAGCTCGGAGGAGGTCACTTCATCGATCCTTTTTTTGACAGCGGATCATCATAAAAAGCCAAGGTTTTATCACGAGTGACAAATGAATCCAAAACTTCTTTTAAATTATTTATTTGCATTGAATGTAGGTAGGTATTTCAAAATGATTGTTAAAACATATTAGTTCCATTACATTCTGCCTTATCGAGGTGTGACAATTTTAAATAAATAGTTATTATACATTTTTTTTTATAACGATTGATGATTTTTAGTTTATGAATATAATATAAAAATATCAAAATAATAATGAAATATATGTCAAAAGGTAAATTACGAAAAACATGTCATACAATCGTTTACAAATATCAAAATCATAATGTTCATATGTAAATATCATAGAAATAACCAACTTATCTTTATATATAAAAATTACGTGTCACGTTGTTTGTCCGCGATGAACTCCTAAACTACTGAACTGATTTCAATGAAATTTCACACACTATGTGCAGTTTACTCCAACTTGAGAGATAGGATTGTTTTTATACCTATAAGTGACCCTCAATATTTTTAATTACGAATTTAAGGAATTTTTTATATGAAGGGTTGTCGAAAAGGGCAGAATAACGTCTGCCTGGTCAGCTAGTAATTATTCTATAATTATCAAACTTTTATTTTATTTAATCACAGTAAAAGTTTTAAACTATTTGGTATTGATTGATTGATTTGATATTTAAAAATGTAATTTGTTTTGATTTTTATGATCAAGATACTCATTTATGGTTTAATGTAGCAATTTATGGTTGCCCGAAAGCAGTTTTTCCATCCTGTTTTTGGATAGTGTTCTATTTCAGAATATTTGCCCCATATAAGAAGTCCGTACTGCAAAATCTATGAGTCATAGCCATGATAGGCGTTTAACGCTGCTTTGGAAGATGCTATCTCTCGAAGTCGGCGAAGCGCAAATACAAATCTGTTTAATTTGTCATGATGTGATTTGATATAATATGATTGTTTAATATAACAGAAACTATTGGAACTTACCTATTACGTTCCAATGCTGGGAACAGGCATCCTCTTTTTTGAGAGGGTTTTAAGGCAAAGAATGGTCCACCGCGCTGCCCCAATGCGTGTTGGTGGACTTATAATATCTTCGAAATATTTTTTTTCTTTCTCAGACATGCAGATTTTCCAACGATGTTTTCCTTCACCACCAAGCACGTGGCATTTACCAATGGCACGTTAACGCCTCGTTTGTGCCTAAATATTATGACACCACTTGCACCGTCGTTCAATGGTGGTTTCTCTTGGTTCTCATCGGTGGGCTAAGCTTATACATCATTTGCGCGCCGAGTCGAGTGTTGAGTTATTTTAATTTTTCATTATCTCTAAAACTACGCGTCCAAATAACATGCTATACGGATCAAATTTTATCTTTACAAAAATGTCTTGTAATGTAATAATTTTGGTTCGTAAGGATTAACAAACCATTCTCAATAATAACGCTCATAAATCACATTTTAATTTTCAATATTTTTTGTCACTAAGTAAATATATGTATATATGGCTATAATATAATAATAAATAATAAATTTATTCATAAGAAATATGGTACAAAGATGTTTGTATAAAATAATAAAGTATCATATTTCACCAATTTTGGTATATGAAAACTTATGATTAGAAAATACAATATATTTAACTAAAATTAAACGTGCATCAGATTACAATTTTGATATTAACAATTTAAAACACGACCAAAGAAAAAAAAGCGTTTTAACAGTCACTAGAAACGTTCTTTTATTTTTAGCAGTTCATTTACCGAATAAAATTGTTTTTCCAAAAGCCACTTTAATAAATTACGTCTAAATCGATTATAATCTAATTGCCTTATTTCATTTGGGATTTTGTTAAACACTTGAATAGCCATCACATAACAATTTTTTGAGTACAGACTAGTTTTTAATGACGGCAAAATAATTTTTTCGGGGTATCTGGTACTATATTTCACTGCATCTTTTAATTTAGTAAAAAAATGAGGATACTTTTTTACGAATATTGAAAGCTCAAAAATGAACATGGATGGCAGAGTAAGAACATCTAATTCTTTAAATAGTGGTTTGCAAGAAACAAGTAGCCCGACGCTACAGATTGCTCGTATACAGCGTTTTTGCGCTATAAAAGCACGGTTCACATCTGTCGAGTTTCCCCATAACATGAGACCATATCTTAATACAGCAGCAACATATGCATGATATGCTATAAGAGAAGTGTTTCTTGACGAGATTGAAGCTAGTCTACGTAAAGCAAAATTAAATTTAAATATTTTAGAACAAACTTTATCAACGTAATCTTTCCAATTACAGTGTTTGTCTAAATTTATACCTAAAAATGTGGTACATTCAGTGACAGTAATTTTTTCATCATTATACTTTATTTATTTTTTATTTATTTTAACAGATACACCATTGGCTTATCACTAGACATTGTTAAGTATAACACAATTGGTTTTGTTCAAAGTGATTTGCCTTTAAAGGTATATACAACATTCGCAAATAGTGCAGCTACTATAAGACAGTTGTTAACTTACTTAACTAAAACAATATTATTAATAAATTTACAAGTAATTGAGTAATTACTACAGGTAATATGAGCAGAAATGTCATTTATAAATACCAAAAAGAGAACAGGGCCGATATGCGACCCCTGTGGAACGCCTGAAGTTGGATAAAACGAAAAAGACTTGAAACCCTGTGTTGTTACTCTTTGAATTCGATTAAATAAGTAGGATTTTATCCAATTCAACAGGTTTCCATGAATACTATAATAATTTAATTTGGACAAAAGAATGGCGTGGTTAACTTTATCGAACGCGCTACTAAAATCGGTGTATATAGCATCAACCTCTTTATTTTTATCAACATATCTCGCCAAGTTCGAGGTGTATTCTAGTAGGTTACTAACTGTAGACTTATTTGCGCAAAAACCATGCTGACAATTAGAAATTACCTTTGATAAATGAGAAGACAAAATGGGGCAGAGTATTTTTTCTAAAAGTTTAGGGAACAAGCTTAATAAAGAAACAGGTCGGTAGTTTTCAATATTGCGTTTGTCACCTTTTTTGTAGATGAGAATCACATTGGAAATTTTCCACTCGTCAGGAAATTTTGCAGTTTTAATTGATTTATTGAAAAGCAATTTAAGTCGGAGAGTTAAATATTTATAAGTTTTTTTAATAAAGTAGGGTGGGATGCCGTCCGGTCCAGCACCTTTATTAGAGTCAATTGACTTTAATACTTTCTCGACGTCTCGCTCTGTAATTTCAACATTGCTTAGAATTAATTGTGGATAGCAATCTCCTAGATCCGGTTGCGTTGAATTGTCAGGGGGAGAGTAAATCGAAGAAAAACGTGTCGCAAAAAGATTACAAATTTCCTCACTACCACGCGCAACCTTGTCGTCTAAATACATCTCAGAGGGTAAGTTGGAAAGACCTCCACGTAAGGATTTGACATAAGACCAGAATTTTTTTGGATTTTTACTGAGAGCATATTCAGTGTTTTTTAAATATGTACTGTAGCAAGATGATATTAATGACTCTACGCGTTTATTAGATAAGATAAGTTCAATCTTATCTCTAGGATTCCGGTAAATCTTGTATCTTGAATGAATTCTATTTCTTTCGGCTATTAATTTTATAAGGTTTCCTGTAAACCAATGTGGATATTTCGGACTACGAGGTTTAGTTCTGGGTACAGTTGATTGAATAACATCATGTATAAGTTGATAAAATGTTGAAACAGCGATATCAACGTCATCCAGAACCGACAGTTCTTTCACCCAATCGATATGACTTAATTTACTTTTTACAATTGCATAATCAGCTTTTTTGTAGTTATACGTTGCAAATTGCTTGTTACGTAAAGAATCATACTTATTTAAACTGAACCCAATCGACAGAGCTGGATGGTGTGAATCTAATTTGCAGAGCGGATTAATACAATTATCGACTATTATACTGTCTAAGTTACTTAGGACGAGATCTAAGATACGACTGTTATGGTTTGCAACATGATTAAACTGAGACAAATTATTTAACGACATAAAGTCAATCAATAAGTACCCTAAGCTACACTGATAATTTAATGGAGTCAAGTTACAACATCCACTTGAATCTTTATTCCAGTCTATAAATCCGAGGTTGAAATCACCTAAAACAATCACATCACCGGAATGAGATAAAATCACATCACTGCAGTTGTCGATAATAGGTTCGAATGACGACACGGTTATTGGTGGTGGTATGTAAATGGCACCAATTAAAATTGCTTTGTCTGTCGATATATTTACTGATATCCACAAATCCTCTCCAGTGCTTTCATAGTGAAACATTCTCATCGAGTGGTACTTAATGGAAACGGCGATCAAAACGCCTCCGCCACCTTTTCCGGCCAGGCTGGTTGATTGGCGATCTCTTCGGTATACATAATAGTTGTTGCTAAATAGCTCGTCATCGTAAACGCTGTCATCCAACCAGGTTTCAGTCCCAACAATAACATCGTAGTCTCCCAACAACGTTGCAAGTCTCAAATCTTTGGTTTTAGTTTTCAGGCCTCTGAAATTTTGGTAATAAATCTTTAAGGTAGCCATTTTTATGCGTTAATCAATTCCCGTTAAAAATGTCCAAGTATTATTATAGTCTGTTTAGGTTATCGTAACACTTTATTTGTTTTGCAGGGGACTGGTCATTTTTTCTAACAAAAATGCGGCCGTTACGGATCCAGATGAAATCGTATTGCTTTTCTCGAGCAACTTGACGAGTCCTCGCATGTAGAGCTTTAAAATACGGCGCTAGATGTTCGGAAACGAAAACAGGCGACTTGTTTTCTATATATCCCAGGTGTCCTGTGTTTAGTTTATTGGATGCGTTCTTTTTATTAAATTGCGTTACCGCTGCTAGTATCTCATCATGAGTTTTTACTGAGGGAAGTTTTATAATAATTGCGCGGGGCCTCTTATTTGAATCGTTCATCTTCCTAACTCTGGTACAGGTAGCTGATTCGATGAGATCGGTAGAGATAGATACAGTATTGCATATTTGTTTGGCAACATTAATTAAGTTCTCAGTCTTACTTTCCGGAACACCATTCACTTCAATATTCGTCTCACGCGAGTATTGCTCAAGTAAAACAAGTCTATTTGATAATTCGTTCACTTTTGTATGTAAGTTGCTGTTTTCAGCTGAAAGCGACTTTATGTGCTCTTCTGACGTTTTTAATTCTTTTTTCATTCTGTCATATTCCGCACTTAAAAATTCAAGCCCGCTTTTGATATCTTTTAAGGAACTTAACTCCTCTTTTATAGTTCTTAAATCCATTTTTATAGATGACTCCTCTATAGCTTGATTTAAAAATTTTCCCATTGATGATTTAATTTCTGATGTAATTGTTAGCATTAAGGATTCATCTCCGGGTTGTGTAGGTGAGCTCATCTTCTGATTACTAGGTAGTTGAGGTTTTTTACGCTGTGTTATGTAATCACTGTTAGGAGTACTAATTTCCTGTGACGAATCACCACGGTCTCGCGGGCCCGTTCTGGACTGGATTGGGGTGTTTAAATTGTCACCCTTTCGTTCTTTATTCCTACAACCAGGGCAGATCCATTTCTCTTTCTTGTCCTTCTCCAGCAGCATAAGGCGTTGGTGAGAAATATTAGCGCAAACTGTGTCATATATATCTTTGCAAAGTGAACATGTTACAAAGTCCTTATTAGTTATTTTATTTAAACATCCCGCGCACAATTTTGTTTTTGAAGCCATAGCACCATAGATATTTAAAACCCCTGTGTACGTTAGTTGTTGGTTCCTTTAGCGAAACTGTTTTATCGGAGTACTTTCGCTTAAAGTATGGCAAAGTAAGACGGTCTGACACTAGGAGTACTAGGCGCAAATAAACAAGTATTCTTAAATAAATTAAAATCACTATAATTGCAAAGTAAGAAGGTCTGACACTTGGAGTACTAGGCGCACATAAACAGGTAAGTGAATTATCACTAACCAAAAAGAGCGTAGCTAAGAAGATGGCCGCTACGAGTTGCGTAGTAGATGGTCAGTGCGAGGCTGGGCGGTGCGTGCGCTGGAGGTAGCCGGGTCAGCAATGATTGGTCGCCGCGATTTCCATTATGGCGGTTGGACGGGGTGCTGCTTGTTGTTTGTGATAGCACGCTTCGCAGGTGATGTCACTAACTGAGAGCTCTTTTCACTTTATGCGCTCCTATTTTTTTAATATAAATAAAAACTGTATTAAATTTAACTTAATTTTTAAAATAAAATGACGATAACTTGGAATACGTGTGCTCGCTGCCGAGGTCCGAGGGAGAGGACCTCGACCTACTTAATGTCAAGTAATTGCGGCTTACTATTAACATTGTAGAATTGCATAAATTTAGTTTTAGATAGATTTATACTGAGATTATTGTTGTTAATCCAATCAACAAGATTTTCAATTGTATTATTTATTTCATTTTCATATTCTTTATTACAACTAGAATTAAAATTTGTTTTTGGTATTAATATAGAAATGTCGTCAGCAAATAATATTGTGTTATATTTAATGTAATTTGGTAGATCATTAATGTAAATTAAAAAAAGTAAAGGACCCAAAACACTCCCTTGCGGCACACCATAATCATTTTGTAAGTATGAAGATTGAAATTTTAAAATTTCCTGCCGTTTTTTTATCTTTTTGTTGTATTTCAACACATTGTTTTCTATCTTTTAGATAGTTATGTATCCAGGAGTAGGCTGGCCCTCTTATTCCATACGCTTCAATTTTTTTTAAGAGAATATCATGACTAACACTATCAAATGCTTTACTCAAATCAAAATACACTGCCGAAATCGGTATTTTTCTGTTTATATATTCTGTTACAATTTTTATATGGGAAAAAGTAGCAAGTGTCGTAGATTTACCTTTTTGAAAACCATGTTGCTCTGGTTTTAATATGTTAAACTTATGAAAAAATTCTAAGAGTCTTTTTTGCATAGCTTTCTCATACAATATTGATAGTATTGATATTAATGTAATTGGTCTATAGTTATTAATGTTATTTCTATCACCTTTTTTATGCAATGGTATAACAACGGAGAATTTCAATTGTGTAGGAAAAATTCCCGTTTCAAGTGACTTATTTATGAGAAAACATAATACGTCTATGATTTTTCCTGGGCACCTCTTTAATATTTTTGTTTGTATTTCATCACAACCAGTAGATTTAGTGTTATTAAGTGATGAAATATTATTTTTAATTTCTATTACATCACATGGTCTTAAATAAATACTAGATTCATTTCTTAGATAAGTTACCCTTAATTTTCCCGTACTATTTTGTAATATTCTGTCTTTAATGGAATGGATGAAATGTTCATTAAATGTTGTAGCTAGTTCAATGGGATTTTGTATATTTTGATTATTGACTGTGAGTCTATCAATAAAGATTGGATGTTTCTGACTATTTTGTTTTATTAGGTTCCAAGTGGCTTTAGTTTTATTTTTTGAGTTTAGTACTTAATTGTGATTCATCTGCTTTTGTGCCAATAAAACAGTTTTTTAAGTATATTTCTATAATGTGTATATTTATTTTTGTTCTCGTGAGTTTTATTTTTGTAATATTTATAACGAAGTGCACGTTTGGTTTAGCAGGAAATTTTTATACCGGTTGTAAGCCATTTTAATTTTTGATCAAAATTATTTAATTTGACTCTATTTATGGGAAAACACAGTTTATAAATTAATAAAAACATGTTATAAAATTTAGTAAATGCTTTTTCTACGTTATGCTATTCATAAACGTCTAAGTATGATAATGAATTTAAGTGATTGCAGAAGTTGTTAATATTGCTTTCGGTGTATTGCCTTCTAAATATATAATAATGCTCAGGAGATTTTGTTGTATCTTTTAATAAAAAACTTAACGTTTGCCCCATGTGATCTGATAAACCTAATTTATGGACTTTCCCGATAGCTCCTTGAATATTACTTGCTATTTGGTCTATACACGTATGTTGTCTCGTTTTTTTAGTTATGTGCATTTGGAATCCATAGCTTTCTAATGTAGTTCTTAATCTATTAGTTTTATTATTCAATATTAACATATTTATGTTAAAGTCACCCGCAATTATAACTTTTTTGTTTATTTTTTAACGTAGCTTATGTAATAAAGCATCAAGTTTAGTAAAAAATACACTTACTTCCGAGTTTGGTGTTCTATAAATACAAATAATGATACATTTTTGTTCAGTCAATTCTATACCGCAACATTCAAACTCAATTTCCTTTGAAAAAGGTTGTACAAAATCTAAGATACGATAATTGAAATTGCGTTTTACAAGAATACACACACCACCACGTTTTGATTCTTTTCTTGAGAAATTGGCAGCCAGTTTAAAGTTTTTAAAAATTACGTTTTCTTCATCTCCATTTTTTACAAACGTTTCAGTGAGACAAATCACGTCTATTGGTTCTTTAATGTAATCAAATTCTGCGGTGCACGCCTTAATTAAGTCTAATTTTCCTAGTAATCCTACTATGTTTTGGTGAAATACTCGCATACAGGAATTTCCTATTTTATGCATTTTATCATTTACTAAAATACTGTTTCTAGAGATATCTGATGCCTTATTTTCGAAATAAACTATTTTGTTGTAGGACTGGAAAGTAAAATGGGAGAGTTCCTTTTTTGAACTTTAAAGATTCCTTACACTCACTCACATTCTCTATATAATCCAATTTTACCAAAGATTCATCATTTAAATTGTTTTTTATATTTGCGAAATAGTAAGGAATTGTACCTTTCTTATATACTTTATCAATTATTTCAGAACATTTAATTACAGCTGAACGTGTTTTAATAATATCTTTTAGTTGGGAATAATCTAAAAATTGTTGGTCATAATCTATACAATCAATTATATAGTTAATATTTTTACAGGTTTTAAATATATTTTTATTACAGGAATTTTCTCTTATGAAATAACAGTTTTTATATTGATTACATACTTTTATATAATTGGAATTTAACATCCCCGTATTTAAATATCTACTATTTAAAACACTTAAAATAATTATAGTATGTTTCCTTAGTTGTTTTAATCTTATGTATAATTCTGATGTAACAGCTAAAGGATTTTCATCGTTTTCGCCAACACAAATAATAATTTTGTCTGACAAACCATAGTCTTGATTGAGAACACAAGTTTTTAGTACACTTTCAGTTAAGGCATCAGGTTTTGTATAACCGATTATATCATATGCCTCATATTTAGTATGTTCTCTCGAACGAAGCAGCGCTGAGGCTAGGCCAACACATTGTTGCGTCCCAAATATAATTATTTTTTTCTTTTTAACATTGCAATTTGTTTTACTCATATGCTGAATATCTTCCTCCAACTTATTTTCTAGTTTTATGTTTTTGTTTGGTGTTAATAACAGATTATTTTTGTCATTCAACTTAGCGTCTTTTATTGCCACCTTTGGCGCTTCTAAATCTAATTTATTAGGTGTTTGCGTTGCTAAATCTAATTTATTAGGTGTTTGTATTACTAAATCTAAATTTTTAGGTGTTTGGAGTAATGCGTCGTTTTTTTGAGCTTTTATTTTTTTAGGACTATTTGATGAACATATCATGAGTAATCTTTTTGTTTTTGCTGTTAATTTTTCAACCTCTTTTTGTAGTTCCTGTTTCTCAAGAATAAGCTTTTCTATTTCCATATGCTTACTGTCTTATTCAAGTTGTAATTTTGAGTATTTTGTTTTAATTCAATAGATTCATCATTTACTAATGTCGATAGATCTGTTAGGCTTTTTATTATGTTTGAATCTTCGGATGATAAGGAAGTTTCAGGGTCCGAGTACGTTTCTATTTCTTTGCGATTTTTCATTCTGTTTTGGAAATTATTGGTAGTTAATAGTTGATGACCTAAGTTTTCACTTTCATTTTTACTTTTATGCAGCATTTCATATTGTGTGACATTAATTTTTGAGATATTGACTTGTTTTTTAACACTGTCAGAAATATCAGCGTTAGGTGAACATATTTTTTTAGTATTTTTCTTATGTATGCACTGATCACATTTCCATTTAGATTTTTTTTCAATATTCATAGCATTAAATCTTCTAATTGACATATTAATGCAATTAAGATCATATATTTCATTACAAATAAAACATTTTAAGATCTCTTTAGAAGTGATCACTTTCTTGCAATGGGTGCAGATATTCATAATTGTCTTTATACGAGTAGAAGTCGTTGACAAATTTTTGTTCTTCTGTGATGACATTATAATGAAAGTTTAATAAAATAAGTATTATCTAATTTCTTTTAGGTCTCTTCCTTTTCAAGTAAAAAAGTAAAAAACTTGCCTTATGATTATATACAGTAAATACTGAGATATGCAACCGACGTAGTCTTGGGTATAGTACGTATCCGCAATGTATTAGCGACAATACTTGTTTATATCACGGTCCAAAGTTCATTATGTTAAGTAAACAACAGAGTTAGAGACTAACAATCTTTTGTATAAACAAAATTTAAAAAATCACCCATTATTTCATTATAATTTGGAATTGTTTATGATTTATTTTGATTATCTTGTGATTTGTAATTATTTTTATATCATAAAAACTGTATAATTACAATTTTTTTAAACTTAGATGTTTTTAAATTTTTCTGACGAACTTTTCAAATTAAAGTATAGTTTTCATAACTCACTATTACACATAACAATCACTTATTTGTTACCTATTACAACTATTCGTGTTATTTGTATATTTATGAGCGTTTACTATTTTTTAAGAATTTTGTACTAAGCGCAACAGTCACGTCGTGTGCGCATCGCGTATCGCGTCGTTTCGTATAAAATATAATATTTAAATCAAAATGGTCGTTTAAGAGATTATCGTGTTTAAACGTTAAAAAAGCTTTCCTTTTAGCAGGTTATCAGTAATCATTACTACTTGTTTAATGATATAAGAATAAGTAAAATTGAACTACTCGTCTTCTAAATTATTTGGGGACGGGAGCATCTGATTTAAGCGCCGGTAAACCATTGGTACGCAGAATTTGATCGTGGACATTTTTCTGAGAATATAGCTGAGTGAGAATACTTTGAAAATCAGTAAGTATATTAAAATAATGAATTGTTTTATTTATGAGTAACGCAGTTTTGCGTTTCTTACTTCGCTTTTCTATAACTTAAAAAAAGAGAACAGATGTAATACCGACTTAATGACAAAATTTCTTCATTACTTTGTGAAGCCATTTATCATGGAAACTCAATTTCTGACTCCAATTTTTTATTATGAATTTTAAACGAATAAACGCAAGCACCTGGTACTTGAGCTGCGAACATAAATCATAAAGCTTTGTTAGTATACCGAAACAGGCACGTGCATTCAAAATATGAAGTTACATAATATCATACGATATACTCGTATGTGGTTTTACTTTATATTTAATGAAAATTTCTCTTATCAATTCCTTTACTATAGAAGTCAAAATTCCTTTGGATATTTGCCAGGAATTTTTATTCTTATTATTTCCATAAGAATTGGTTTTTTATGTAGTAGATATTTACATGCTACAGCTGTATTATGGCTGCACGGCAATCAGATCGATTGGGGACGAACCATGCTCTCATAAAATACGAACGTAGAATAGTAGCTTAATGATACTGTTTATGTTGACAAATGTGAACCGAAGACATTTATTTGTTTATGTTTTAATGCTATCAACTAACGGTCACAAAGGGTTGAATTAATACTTTTTGACATTTTTCACTAGTCAATCCCAGATATGGTAAAATATAATTTTAGGCGCAAACAAATTGTAAAATGTCGCGGGTCAGGTTTCGGAACAATCTGCAACGTTGCATCGTCGCGTAGATTGAGTGTTCGCGTCATGTTGTGGGACAAAATGTCCCCTAGTGTATCCGGGGATTTAACACTTTAAGGTAAGATTTAATAATAAAAAAAGAATGTATTTTATAACTTGAATCTCAAAGTATTTGTACTAAATTTTAAGTTAAAAATTTTTTTAAAGGATAGGGTGACAAACGTGCACACAGTCCACCTGATGGTAAGTGGTTGCTGTGACCCATAGACATCCACATCTATCCTCAATAAAGAATCAAAATGCAGATGCGCTGTCAGTCGTCAGGACTAAGATGGCATGCCTCGTTTCCATTAAAAAGGAGACTCTTTTTAATGGAAACGAGGCATTCCATCTTAGTCCTAAGGAGTGACAATTAAAACTTTTCAATCGTTTGTAGTATTCGCTGCGTAGACGTCGTTGACGTTGCGTGCCGCATGTGCCGCGTTGCTGCCACAACTGTACAAATTTTTTATAAATATCCATATCATCATAGAACAATAAATAATTTCTAGTTCATTTCTTAAGAAATTTGTATTTTTCTCTGCACATGTAATGTTATCTTTACAATTTTTGGTATACATACTGGGTGACGCAACGTTAAAACACTAAATGATTCAATAATAAATCAACAGAGAATTTTTAACAGTGGTAGAGCCACGCGGCAGCTTTTGTTGTCGCACGGATGGGCCGGCTCGAACTGAGGAGGTACCACGACCTCATAGAAAACCAGTGTGAAGTAGAGGTTTACCTCTGCGTTTCGCTTGGTGTGTGCAGGTGGCTGGAGGCCCTTTTTACTGGAAATGAGGCATTCCATCTTAGTCCTCACGGGTGACAACGCATCTCATTTTGATTTGTAATAGAGGATAGGTGTAGATGTCTATGGGTCACAGTAACCACTTACCATCAGGTGGACTGTGTGCTCGTTTGTCACCCTTATCCTATAAAAAAAAGAGGTGTAATTTAACTTTACTAGTTTTCGCAAATGATGTTTATACATTACTTTTCAAAAGGCGAAGGCTGATAGATACAATAAACTGTGCCTTCAATGTGAATAAATCGACGATCGAGACAACGTTGCCACACTTGAGAATAAGACTTTAAGACTTTACGAATTACCTTTTTTTTAATTTTGACAAATAATTAAATTAACTATTTCGATAAATTTTTGAAAGTATTACCACTTTTATTTATTAACCGAGTTTTCATTTATTGTATTTAACGGAACGCCACAGTACATTAAATAAAGTAATATTAACAAAAAAATCACATTCAAAGATTACGGTTATCGTTACAGCTTTAAAATCCACTTCTGAACACAGATCTCCAACAAAGATTGCCTCATAGGGCGATATATGTCATAGTTGCCACACTTGAATAGTGGGTAGGCAACGGCATATGTTCTTTTTTAGTCGTTATTAGGAAGTTGCTGACGCCTGTATACTGTTGCCTCTTTCGCGTGATGCGCGTAGTGGATATTTTTACAGCGCCAGTAAAAACACCTTTGTAGGTGTTTAGTAACTTCCTACTAATATAATAAACGTGAAAGTTTGTGAGTATGTACGGATATTTTTACTCTTCCATGCAGAAACTACTAAATGTATTTTAATGAAACTGTACAATTATATAGCTCATATACTAGAATAACACATAGGCTATTGTTCATAAATATATTGTTTAAAGTGGCCAAAATATAACGATAAATGTTCATGTGAAAATAATCTGTCATCTGCAAGCTATTTTAGCGTGGGGTTAGGGTTTGTGTCCCGGGACGTCTCGAGTCTCGAAGTCCCGGGAATTTTCGTAATTTCAGTTAACTTCATTCCCGGCACTTTCGGGTAGAGACTCGAGACGAGACAAGATTGTCGAAATTGTTATTTAATCGTTTTTATTTTCAAATAATTGACGAAGCCTAGCACCATGTGTTAGTTTAATGAATAATTACTTGGTGGACTACGTAAATACTGAGTACGCAACACAATAAATTAAACAAATATGTGATTACGAGAATTAACAATGAGATTATGAACAATGATTAGATAGTAGAATTATAGTAATGTTATAAAGAATATGTTATATTAGTATGATTTTTAACTAAGTTTGTTTCATAACTATAAGATTTAACTGTTTGGAAGTGCATCTGTATGTGATTAAAAGAAATAAACAAAGTAATTATTAAGACTGAAATTGACATTAAAGTTATTTAATTTTCTATTTAATAAATGTTGATTTTTACATAAAATTGCATCTTTTTAATACGTTTCACCAGAAATTAACTCAATTTAAATTCTTTAAAAAAGGCTTACCCATCTTAAAAAAAAAACAAAAAAGTTTTTTCTTAAGTCTCGAAGTCCCAACATGGCAAAACGCATGCACGCACGCACGCACACACACACACACACACACACACGAACTCACACACGCACGCACGCAAGCATGCACGAATGCACACACGCACGCACGTACCAAAGCAGGCGCACACACGCGCACACACACACACACACACACACACACACACACACACACACACACAAACACACACGCACGCACACACGCGCACACACACAGTATTTTTGAGGTTTTGTTGCAAACATGTTTTAAAAATTTGGTATTATTTTTACATATATGAAAAACAATGGAAAAAAAGCAAAGAAGAAGCCGCCTGGACAAGTTGTTTTTTCCAAAATTCTCTTCACTTTATGTTTTAACGTGGTAGAGCCACATAGCAACTATACTATTAAGGTTGTAGCACAAATGGGTTGGATCGACCGGGGTATGATCACACTCTCACAGAATACTAGCGTAAAATAGCAGGTTAATGCTGCCGCATTTCGTATGTTGA